GGGATATGACCTGAGCCGAAGGCAGACGCTTAACGACTGAGCCACCCAGGCGCCCAGTAAATAGAATCTTTAAAAAAAATATATTTACCATGCAGGATGTTTGTAGGAGTATGTGAAAAAATATTTGCAATATGTTTAGCATGCACTAGGTCCATGGGAAATGCTTATGAAAAGTCATTTAAATCATTGTTACTTATCTGATTAATGACTATTCAGTTCTTAAATATTGATTCCCACCCTCTTCCCAAAGAGAGGCAAAGCATACTGAGAAATCAAGGGGAAATAACACATACATATTAATCGTAGTAGCACACACGTATTAAGCACTTGGCATGTGCCAAGCTTGGTGCTCAGAGCTTCTATTCAGCGTCTCATCAAATCCTCACAGCAAATCCATGCAGGAGGACCCCGAGGCTCAGAGAGAGAAAGCCCCTAGCCCAACATCACACAGCAAGGAAATGATCAAGCCAACTGCGCTCAGGCAGCCAGACTCTAGAGCCCAGGCTTGGCCCCTGTGGATCCGCCCTCTGGTCCTCCCTCCCTTCCTCCTAACCCCCCCGCCCCCCCCCCACACACACTGAGGGGAAACCGGTGACAGAGGCCATCGGCTGGATTGACAAGTGCAAACAAGGAAGTGTCAACAGCTCAGAGATGAGAATAGGGCGAGAGAGCCTCCTGTCTCCTTCTTTCAATTCACACCGCCTAATCCGAAATGCTTCGTTGGGGATTTGCAACCCTAAACGCCCATGTTCTCACACACAGGATTCCCCTTGACAGCCTTGAGTGTGTGTGTGGGGGGGGGGCGGGCGGGGGGGGTGGTGGTTCTAGCTCATGATTCTAAGAGCAAACATAGGAGGGCTGGGCCCCATCCTCCAGTGAGGTTGCCTGGCCCCTTGCTGAAGGCAGCTTTTGTCTGCCTTCCTCCTGACCCTTCGGAGGGTGACTCAGGGGCCTCCTTCCTCAAGGGGACTCCTTGGGTTTCTCAGAATTCTATTTTTGTTTTGAGGTTCATAGAGCCGCGGACTCATCATGTTTTCTCCCAGCAGAGCTTGTTACACAATGGGCTTCTATTATGATACCAGAGCTGGGGTCTGGGGGGGGGGATTTAAGCAGAAATTCAGCCCCAAGTGCCCAAAAGCTTGCTCCAGGCCCCACCTGTCCGTGCCTTTTAACTTCCATGCCCTTCCTTTAGGGAGTTCTGATTCTGCACCAGGCACTGGGCTGCAAGCTACATTTGTTTCCAGCTCAGCCCTCTCCACAGCCCCCGGGGTGGGTGCCATTAGCCCCACGTTGTAGACAAGGGAATCGAGGCTGCAAGAGGGAAAAGTATCTTGCCGAGGCCTCAGCAGAGCCGGGCTTGGGACTCAGGGCAATCTGACGTCACAGCGGTGGGAAGGCTCCAGAGAACATGAGCAGGAACTTTCTGAAGATTCTGTGACATAAACTTGCAAAGTTAAGAGCACTGAAGCTGGAAAGCCCGGGATGACAGTCTGACTTCACCTTTTCCTAGCTGGGCTGACCCTGGGCAGGTCACTGTCCTCCCTGAGCCTCAGTGCCCCCACAGGGTTGCTCTGCATGGTATAGAGAGGGTATAGAGCTCTAGGGTCTCATAAAAAACTAGTACTATCATTAGTTGCAAATGTAGGTGGGAAATTCATCTCCGAGGTAAATGGGACTTAAGCAAACTCTGCTTAAGAAAATATATTTTCTCTCTTGCCATTTGCAATGACATGGATGGAGCTAGAGGGTACTATGCTAAGCGAAGTAAGTCAGTCAGAGAAAGACAAATACCATATGATTTTACCCATATGTGGAATATAAGAAACAAAACAGATGAACAGAGGGAAAGGGAAGGAAAAATAAAATAAGATGAAAACAGAGAGGGAGACAAACCATATGAACTCTAGGAAACAAACTGAGGGTTGCTGGAGGGGAGTGGGGTGGGGGGATGGGGCAACTGGGTGATGGGCATTAAGCGGGGGGACGTGATGGAATGAGCACTGGGTGTTGTGTGCAACTGATGAATCATTAAATTCTACCTCTGAAACTAATAAAAAAATCAAGAGAGTGCTGTGAATTGTGCAAGACTGTTGAATCACAGATCTGTACCTCTGAAACAAATAATGCAATATATGTTAAGAAAAAAAAAAGAAGAAGATAGCAGGAGGGAAGAATGAAGGGGGGGAAATCGGAGGGGGATACGAACCATGAGAGACGATGGACTCTGAAAAACAAACAGGGTTCTAGAGGGGAGGGGGGTGGGAGGATGGGTTAGCCTGGTGATGGGTATCGGGGACGGCACGTTCTGCATGGAGCACTGGGTGTTATGCACAAACAATGAATCATGGAACACTACATCAAAAACTAATGATGTAATGTATGGTGATTAACATAACAATAAAAAATTAAAAAAAAGAAAAGTAAGAACACTTATTTTTCCAAAAAAAAAAAAATCAAGAAAAAAATGAAAATTATTTTCTCATCAAAGTTGGGGCACCCAGCTCCCCGTGAACCCTTTTTGCCTCTGCCCTGCAACAAAACCCCTGGGGTTTCCAAGGCCACCTGAAGATCCCCCCACCAACGCAGCCCCCCAACCTGATCTTGCTCTCAGGCAACAGAACCCAGAACCAACACACCGCCGAGATATAGGACGCAAAGGGCACCACCAACAGTTTCTGAGAAACACTTTGGGACGGCACTACCCTCATCAAGGTGGAAACCGTGGTCTTGAAACGTTAGCAGCGTGACCTTTCATGTCTCCGGATGCCCCACAGGCCCCTTGCCCTCCTCAGGGCAGTGGGACATGCAGCTCCTGTGGTTGCAAGGAAGGGCTACTCCGGCAGAAGCGAAGAGTTTCCAAAGCCTGGGTCTTCGATGGAAAGGTAGTGACAGAGAGCAAATTAGTGGTTGCCAGTGGGTGCGGGGAGAGTGTGACAATAAAAGGGCAGCGCGAGGGTGTCTGCGGAGTGACGGAACTGCTCTATATCTGATTCTTACAGCAGCTACGTGAAACTATACACGTGTTAAGAGTCACAGAACCACCCACCAAAAGGGGAAAGAGCCAATTTTCCTTATGCTTTTTTTTTTTTTTTAAAGAATTTTAAGCCTTGTTTCTTTATTTCAAAACTCAGGGCAAAATCTTTAAAAAAAAAAAAAAAAAAAAGGGGGGGCACCTGGGTGGCTCAGTCGTTAGGCGTCTGCCTTCGGCTCGGGTCATGATTCCAGAGTCCTGGGATCGAGCCCCGCATCGGGCTCCCTGCTCCGCGGGAGGCCTGCTTCTCCCTCTCCCACTCCCCCGGCTTGTGTTCCTGCTCTCGCTGTGTCTCTCTCTGTCAAATAAATAAACAAAATCTTTAAAAAAAAAAAAAAATCAGGGCATAAAATAGTATATATATATATATATATATATATATATATATAATGAACTGAAGCAAGATTTCCTGCCCCCAAAACTAGAACATTCTCCATATTAGGTTGGGGGAGTGTGCAAGTCCAAGAGACACTGAAGAGAACATAGTTCCAGTAGGTTCTGAAAAGTGCCTGGTGCCCTTGCTACTCCCCAGGCAAAACTTGGCAGGAGAGGAGGGACATCAGAAACCCCAAGTCGGTGTGCTGGATTCAAGAACGGAGGGCACCTATGCCCATGCCCCTTCCAGAGCCACGAGAGGTGGCAAGACCCCAGGGAGAGAATGCTAACTGGAGGGTCTAGGGGGTCCAGGGAGATGGGCTGGGGTCACCACAGTCCAGCCTGAGGCCCAAGGAATTGAGAAACAGCAGAACAATTCTGAGTCCAGCAAGTAGTAAAAAGTAAATGCTAAACCTAAGGGAGCCTTAGACAGGAGGGAGGCACAGTGAGTGTCCCGGCAATAAGGGGGGCCAGACAGCAAGCAGATGTCTCTCCATTTCCAGTCAAAATAGGGACAGGGCAGCCTCCTTTAGATGCCTTGATACATTTGAAGCCTCTGGGACAGAACTAAAACCCCAGAGGAAAATGGGGAAGTTTCTGCTACCCAGCAAACTGGCATTTGGAATGGTAACTAAGCTACAAATACATGAGAAAGAAAAACATAGACACTTAAGATTATGAACTGAGATTCATGCCTGCTCCCCAGACCTCATCCCCCCACAGCCCAGCGAGGTAGATATTTTCCTCCTATTGTACAGATGAGGAAACCAAAGTTCAAGGGATTAGAGTCACTTGCCCGGAGTCACAGGATTTGAATCAGGGCAATCTGCACCCAGACCCATCCCCTCTCTGCCATAATACACGTGCAGCCTCCTGGCTTCAAACCAGAGGCTGTGAGCTGTCCAGAAATTAGCTGCACAAACTTCAATCAGTCCCTCCACTTACCGACTTCAGTTTCCCCACAAAGATAGTAGCAATCTGAACCAACCCGTAAGAGTTGTACGAAGATAACAAAAAAAAATGAGGCCCCTTTGAGGATGGCTGACAACACACAAGCTGTGGGAGTCTAGAGAGTGTTTCAACGGGTAAGTGAGTTCAAAGCCATGGCACGAGCCCCTTGGAGGCACCAGCCAGACTCCAACAGGAAGGAGAGCAGTTCCAGTGAAGGCCTGGCATGAGGGAGGGCAGCATGGCTCATCGATTACATGGGCGTGAGACACACAGGTGAGTTTTGACTCCACCATTCACTTCCTGTGTATCCCTGGGAAGATGTCCCCCTCTCTGAACCTCAGTCTCCACATCTGATATTTGAGGGGCAACAATACCAACCACTCCCAAAAAAGATGAGATTCAGATAGGGAGAGCACCTGGCACATAGTAGGTGCTCAATAAATATGCATCTCCTCCTCCTCTTTCTGCTTTTACTCGAAAGGTGTTAGGTTTAGCTGCTCTCGCCAGTCTAAGATCTTGACCTCTCCATGTCTCAATGGTTTCATCTGCAAAACGGATTCAAAGGCCCGAGCAGTGGGGACAAATGGCTTATTAATTACTTCATGTGGGGAAAGGAAGAAGAAAGGGTAAAACAGAGACCAGGATGCCACAGCATCCTTCAGGCCTGACAACCTGGAAAGACTTTTCCAGGGTATAAATGTGAAATTTCATGGGATCACGACATGCAAGAAAGCAAAATGGGCAGTCAGTGTACGGAAGGTGTCTTCATGTCCCGGCACAGTGATTCGGAGAACAGACTGCAGGCACTGTGAAGGCATTGGGCCCAGGGCTGCGGTGTGCACCTGGACATGTCTACTTGCACCACAAGCCTCGGTTTTCCTCTTGTAAAAGAGGGGAACTCGTCCCCAGCCCACACCCCTGGGAGGATTCGTGGGAATGCCGTCTGTGGCAAACAAAGCTGGGCTGGCATTTGGCAAGGGCTCGGCAAGTGTTGGCCGTCGACAATGTTTCACTGTGATCGTCCAATGCGCGAAGTTCTGACTCTGCCCCATCCTGTGTCTTTGGGCACTTGCCCCGCTGTGCTCCGTGTCCTGTTCTGCAAAGGGGGAGAACAGCATGCCCTCCCTCTCAGGGTTCTGATGAGGATGGACAGCCCCCTGCACGCCGACTGTCCTGCAAGAGACACCCGATGTAGGAAAGTCAGAGGCAGTTTGAATCTTTTGACGCTTTGGGAGCAAGAATCCTCCAAATGGAGAAAAAGAATTGGACCAGGAATGGTAAAGAGCCTCAATACGAGACTGAGGCCCATTTCCGGGCTCCCATGGGCCACCTCTCCCCACATTCCGAACGTGATCTGCCCGGCCGCCTCGGAGCATAGGTCCCCGGCCTTGGCCCTGCTCAGGAAACCATGAAGTCTTTTTTTTTTTTTAAAGATTTTATTTATTTATTAGACAGCAAGGGAGAGAGAAACAGCATGAGAAGGGAGAGGGTCAGAGGGAGAAGCAGGCTCCCCGCTGAGCCAGGAGCCCGATGTGGGACTTGATCCCAGGACTCCGGGATCATGACCGGAGCCAAAGGCAGTTGCTTAACCAACTGAGCCACCCAGGCGCCCAGGAAACCATGAAGTCTTGAGTAACATCCCCATCTCAAGTTTTTCTCTGTTTAATTTGTCCATCAAGTGGCTTAACTGTCCCACCTACTAATGTGATTGGCAATTATTTACTTTGGAGAGCCCTGAAAGACACCACCAGATCGCAGAATTCTGAATTATCTAGAAACCCATCACCCAATTGCACATTTCCTGATCTGCACACTATAAAAGACGTTAGCTCCTCGGCAGAAGCAAGCAGGAGAGGGAAGAGGCGAGCAGGAGAGCCACCAGGACCCTCTGAGAAGCCCAGGTGAGACCTGCCTGTCCCATGCCCGCTCTGCCGCCCTGGGTGGTAGGGCTGCCGAGCTCCTTGCTGTGGGGTGGGCACTGGCTGGCTGCATTTAGGATCGCTCATCGGGGGTCTTTTTCAGAGGGATTTTCGGGGGAAGGGGGAACGGCCATTCACTCTGCTTCTCTGAGAGTCCAGGCGCCATGGATGTCAGGTTTGAATGCGGAAACATAGAAAAGGGGGTTTGCTGAGGATGGGGAGCATGAGGCTGCAGGTGCACACTGTGGAAATCCCATGTTAGGGTTCGCTCGTGAGCATGCTCTTCTTACCCTAAATCCAAATCTCTACGGTGGGAGTTTTAAGTTGAGGTTGCCATTTTGGATTCAGGCCATCATCCACAAACCTCCTAAAATCCACCCCGTTTTGTACATTTTGATGTATTTTTCTGGGATGAGGGTCCTTAGCTTCCATTGCACTCATACAAGGTCTGTTTCCCAAAAGAGATTCAGAGAACGCAATCTAAGTGTACCTCCCCAGGGAGGCCACAACTGGCTCTTTGTACCAAAAAGCCCTTTCAATCCCAGTCAGCCATAGCAGTGACAGTGGGGCTTTGGCTGAATCAGCCAGTTGATGGAATTTTGCCCAAAGAAGCTTTCAGCACCTTTGCTCCCTACCAAATAGACCTAGGAGAGGGTTGGTGATACCTGGGAGGGAACAGTGCAAAAGGTAGCTGGATGTCAGAGGTTGGCTCCCAAATTTTGTTCAAGTTAGCTTGAGGGAGAAGAGAAAGGTATAGAAAAGACAGTGTGTATGTCTGGAGGGGTCAGAAACTTATCTTCAACCACAACTCTACCATCAAGTTACTGTGTGACCTTGGGAAAGTCACTACCCCTCTCTGGCCCCCTGATCTTCTTATGCAATGAAGACTTTGAATGGCCCCAGGATTTCTCCAGCATTGGTCTGGATGAGATGGTGGCTATGGCCATCTGACCTCTAATCAAATCTGTGATTTAAAAGGGCTTCCACAAACCATCACAGGCTAGACCCAGGCTAAAAGACTTAATGGGGATAATGGCAAAACAGTTCAGTCCCTCAGCCTTTTCATTTGCTTTGTCTGAAGAGTGAAAATTAGGGGCAATGATTCAGGCTATTGCAAGCAAGCCCAGATGAATGGAGAGTAAATGTGATGGTGACTTAATTAAACAGATGCCTCTGGGTCAGACAGATCTGGCTTCAAATCCTATCCCTACTGTGTGCTTACAACCTTGGGGAAAGTCACTTAAACTCACTAGACTGCCCTTGCCTCACCTGTGCAATTCGGGTGATGAGTGCCCACATCTTAGGGGGCGGTTATGATGAAATCAGTTACTGATCATGGAGTGCTCAGCCTGATGCCTGACCCAGGGGAAGTGCTGAGTAGCGTTAGCTATTGTTATTCACTCCCTGGAGTTCTGGAGGTCGGGGGCAGATGGTGGATGAATTCCTCTCTGAAAGCCGTGCTACCCACGACTCTATCCACAGATACCGAGAGAGAAGATGTTTCAAATAGGGGGCCTCATTGTCTTCTGTGGGCTGCTGGGCCAGACCACAGCCCTGCTGGACACCTTGCCCTTGCCCCTGGACCAGACCCTGCTTTTGGATGGGACTCCAGCCCAGGACCTAAGCCCCACAGATCTTGCTGGAAGCTTAACGGATGGTAAGTGAGGGTCTGTGACAACCTCTTTCAGGTATGTGTGTGTGTGTCTCTATGTGTCCGCCCAACCGTTCAATGTGGGGAGGAGGCAGGGATGATTGGGGAGAGGGGCTGAGGATCTGGAATTATCAGATTTGACCCCCAAGGATCCACCCTTATACCCATTTTTAGCCCTCAGCAATGGCCTGCTCTCTGAGGGTCTGTTGGGCATTCTTGAAAACCTTCCACTCTTGAACATCCTGAAGACTGGAGGAGGCACTTCTGGTGGCCTGACTGAGGGCCTGCTTGGCAAAGTGATTTCAGTGGTCCCTCTCCTGAACAATATCATTGAGTGAGTAGTCATAGGCCTTGGTACCCACCCCCACCACAGAACCTCTGATGGAGATCTGGGAGCCCCACACAGTGGCCCTAGAGGAGGGAGAGGGGTGGTCTGAACGTGAGGCCAGGACTCAGTGTGAGACCCTTCCCACAGCCTGGCAAGGAACACCAGTCCTCTTGAACCAGTGATTGCCCCCAGTCCTGAAGCATATCTTGAAGCCCCAGCATCATCTATAATCCTCATGACAACCCTTTAAGGTGTAATTAATAATCTCCAATTTACAGATGGCAAAACTGAAGCACAGAAAGGTGCCTGTGCTCACACAACTAGAGTGATGCAGAGCCAGGGACTGAACTCTAATTTACTTAAGTCCAAAGCCAAGGCTTTTCCACCGCACCATGGTAATTCTGTTCTCCTCACCTGTGGAGAGCACAGGTGGCCTCTGATGTAAGCGAGAAAGTGTAAGCTGCTCTCCTCAATGACATCCTCAATGTAATGGCCAGTGAAGGGTCTGATGTGGGATTTCCCATGAGACACCTGAGAGCTCTCTAAGCAAGTAGCAATTATAGGAAGCTTGATGCCAGGGAGCTGGCAAAGCCTAGGTCCTTGACAGGGCTGGATCAAAGCCATTTCCAAGGCTCCTACCCACCCAGGTGCTTGCCCCTGACTTGAAGACAGACAGATGGCCTTGAGTTTGATTTCCAAATGCACCGTGTACCTGCTGGGTGACAGGGCACAGGGCACTCAGTCTCTCTGGGCTTGGTTTCTCCATCTGTAAAATGGAGATCATGGTGCTCACGGAGAAAAACTGTTGGGAGGGACTGGAAGCAATGTAATCACCTGGCACAGTGGTTGTGAGGTCGGCTCATGGAAGAGGTTTGCTTCCATCCTCTCTCCATTCTCTCCTACTTCCTGCTCCTTGATCTCCATGGTAACCATTGTTGACTGACCTGCCACTGAAGGTTATGGCAGGATAAGTGGTTCCTACCCATAAATGTTTGTGAGGGACTTACTCCACTTGCCCATACCTCATCCACTCATCCACTTATCCATCCCTCCATTTGTCCATCCTCTCTTCCATCTAACCAGTTACTCTCCCATGCGTCTGCCTACCCACAAAGTCAACCAATATGGAGTAGGCCCCTTCTCTGTAAGACTCTGAGCTGGCATGCAGCATGCAAATATAAGCCAGACACAGCCTTCACCCTGGCATACCTCAGGGACTTGAGATGAGGAGAGGGCCAGGGTATATCAGGATCTGACCCAGTGCAGAGGTTGGGAAACACTGATATGTGTTGCCACAAGATGCCCCTCCTGTCTCCCCCTTCCTACCTCATGGGTAGCTCCTCCTCTGGGATGAGTCGAGTTGGGTTAAAGGTGGTCTCTAGGTCTGGGGCTGAAAGAACTAATATTCCTCCCTCCAATGTTGCTCTGTGGGCAGTATCAAGATCACTAATCCCCAGCTGCTGGAACTGGGCCTTGTGCAGAGCTCCGAAGGTCATCGTCTCTACGTCACCATCCCTCTGGGCATAAACCTCAACGTGAATACGTGAGTGGGCCCCAAGGGGGGATGGGGGGTTGGCTCACCAAAGGAAACTCTGAGGACCATGCATAGCCATAAGGGGGGTGTTGGAGTCTGACAGACATGAGCCTTCAACTCAGATGCAGATGCAGCAAACTTTCCTCTGCAGGCTCCTGGTCGGACGTCTGTTAAAGCTGGCTGTGAAGCTAAACATCACTGCAGAAATTTTAGCTGTGAAAAATGAACAGGGGAAGATTCACCTGGTTCTTGGTGACTGCATTCACTCCCCTTGGAGCCTGCAAATCTCCCTACTTAATGGGTGAGGCCAGAGGGGTGGCTTCTCCTGCCCAGAAACGGTATTAATGGGATGATGGATGGATGACTGGGAAGATGGAACAATGAGAGGATAGAAGGGTGGGAAGATGAATAGGAGGGAGGGAAGATAGATGGATGGATGGATGGATGGATGGATGGATGGATGGATGGATGGGTAAATGGATGGGTAAATAGCCACCATCTCTTCTTAGGCTGGGCTGACCAATTTTATGCTCCTAGGCCATAAAAAATCTGAGTTCAAGCCCACTGACCACAGGGGCATGTGGAAAGGTGGAGCGGTTCTTGTGTGAACTTGGGACAGTGCTTCCCCAGCTAGAGTCTCAGCTTACTCAGATTACTGTATTACGGAGATACATTGCATTCTTGAGTGAATTCACTAAGATAATAGGTGTGAAAGTGCTTTGTCCCAGTATGGGGTAAAATAGCTCTGCAGCCTACCTGGATTCCTTATTTCAGTTACCTGTCACAAGGGACAGTGAGTCACGCATAATATGTTGGAGTCATCCCATCATGTTTAATATTTACTCAATGCATATATTGTGCTTCACATGTATCATCTCGAGTCCTCATGACAACTACATACGAAGCATTGCTCAGCCATTTATAGATTCTACAAAGTCTCACTGAATACCTACTGTATACTGGAACGAAAGGTTTATTCTACACATACCCACAGTGTGCACTGCTGTGTAGGGCGCCTCTCCCTTTGGACAGGCCCCCTGGTGTTTGCCTGCATGGGGGGGGGGAGTGGACAAGGCCCCATTTCAGTCATTTAGTACTGAGACTGATGTGGGCACAGTGGCCCCTCTGAAGGCTTCTCCATACCAACCCCAGGCCTCTGCACTGGCCCCTGGATATTCTCTTTCAGATTTGCTCCCCTCCCTGTTCAAAGCCTTGTCAACAGTCTCGGCAGCATCTTGAACGAAGTCCTTCCTGAGCTGGTACAGGGCGAGGTAAGTGGGTAAACGTGGCAGCTCCTGATCCTTGGGTCTTAGAGCTTCTCAGGCTGAAAGAAGCCCCTGGAGTAAGCTTTTCTGAACCCCTCAGTTTGATACGTATATTCCATCTACCAGTCTATCTGTCCACTGATTCATCATCTATCCATGTTTCTTCTTTCCATCCTTCAAAATGCATTGATTGGGTCCTGCTCTGGGCCAGGCCCTGTGCATGTCCACCCTATAGCTGAAATGGATTGGACCCAGCCCCAAGAAGCTCCCAGTGCACCCCCACTATGGCTGTAGACAGGCGCTCTTCCAGCCTATGTGTGGGTGCCTCCTACACCCAGAAACTCACCCCTCCCGAAGCAGCTCACCCTATTTAGAAACAGGTGTCACATCCCACAGTGAACACTGGCTCGGTGTGTGATTGGGCACTTCACATACATGCCTTCCATTTCTCTGTCTGCCCCTGTCACTGTGTAAGCATCCATCTGTGATACTGCTTAGAACCAAACACTCTCAGACACAGAAGAATGATAGAAAATCTCCCCCAGAGAATCCTTCCGGGGGTTGCTGCTGCTCCCAGGGCCACCCTCCAGGTGCCGCTTTGCCCAGTACCTCTCTCTGCCCCTGGCTCAGGTGTGCCCTCTGGTCAATGGCGTTCTCAGCCAGTTGGATGTCACCTTGGTGCATTCCATTGCTGGTAAGTCCCCCCCCTCAGGGCCTCTCTCCCTCTTCAGAAGCAGTGATTTCCCCCAAGGAGCACTGTCCCTGCAGCTCTCCCCATTTCGGGTTTCTTTTTTGCCTTGAATTATCCAGATAATGTTAAGGGCTGAGCCCTGCCTCCCCCCCACCCCCATCAGCCCTGACACTGAGAACAGCTGAGCTGATTGGTGGAAGGAGGTCCTGCCCCTGCCAAGCTTCACCTGAGCTTAGTTGGATCACCAGAGTTCCCGTTCCCCAGCCCCCGGCCTCAGGGGGAGTGTGGGACATCTCTCAACTCCTGCACACTGATATCATCATTCTGGTCTGCATCTTCCAGACTTACTGATCCATGGGCTGGAATTTGTCATCAAGGTCTAAGCATTCCAGGAAAGGGACCCAACCTCTGTTGAACTGGTGAGTGCTGTTCCCCAATCCCCAGGATTCGGGTGCTTCGGCTCTTCTCCTGGGAGGGGGCCGCAGAGGGCTTGGGACAGAGAGGGATAAACAGTCACAGAGACAGCGGCAGAGACACACGGAGAAGTCTACAGAAATGCTGACAGACGTGGAGAGACACAGGCAGCACCACCACCCAGCTACAAAGAGAACACACATGACTGTGGACACACACACACACACACACACGGACACGGACACGTGGATACAAAGACACACACTCAACTCAAACATATGCACAAAGAGCCCCCTGGCCCCAGGCCTGGGCTTCCCTTGGGGCTGAGACAAGACCCCTAGCCTGAGGTCTCAGCCCCCTCCCCACCCTCTGGAGGGCAGGTTTGATGATGGGCCAATTACCAACAAGAGTCAGTGACCTCAAGGCTCCATTCTGATCGGGGGCTTCTCCCAACAGAACCATTTCCTGCTGCTCAATCCACTCTCTGCCCAGAAGGCGGACCCATGTCCTGGACAGTGACACGGCCACTATTTGGGGACCAGAGCGCCTTCCCTCCAAGGAAACTGCTCTCCCCCTTCTCCCACCAGGCATGTGTTACAATCCATGTTTCTCACCAAATAAAGTTGCTCTTTCTCTGCACAGGGCCCTTGTCATTCTTCACCCTCATTCAAGGGCTAATAGATCGGAAAGAGCCCTGGCCTGGATGGTTGGAGCCAGAGAATCGAGTTCTGACCTTACACTGTAGAACCTGATGGTCTTAAGCTGGATAGGGAGATGTTCAGATGAGTGGGCACTTCCGAGTGACTGCTCTGGGGTCCCTAGGAGGGGTGGACAAGGGCTTGGGGGTAGATGTAACCCTCTAGGCAGATGATGACATGCAAGTCCACCACATAAGAAGTGAAATGGCAGATCTGAGAGATGTTCAGGAGTGGACCTGGGCATAGGTGCGGGAGCAGGTGAGGTGCGAGAGGATGAGCTGATTCCAGCAGGAAGATGATGCCTTCGGCTGTGGCCATGCCGCGTGGAAGTACCCGGGAGGCCCAGGGGGAGACATCCAGGAATCGGATGGACACACAGGTCACCTGCCACTCCTCTTTTGCTCACTGGCATCCACTCAAACTGACTTCTGTTTTCTCAGCAAGAGGATGAGAAAGATGACAAAGAGGAAGTGTAGAAGGAAGGACAAACGGGTCCAAGGTGATCATTGCTCGCAGACATAGAGAAGGGCCAATGGAGAAGCATATGATAAGGTTACTGATGCCATGGGTGAGAGTCCTATTTTTGGAGGAAGATGCCTGATTTTTAGGAAGAGGAAGGGATGAAAGGAAGTTGAGACTGAATGCAAATAAGATTTATGAAAAATTGGAGACAAGAATAAAGAACAGGGCTATCCAAGCTGGGGGAGGTTGTCCCCTTGAATAAAAACTAAACATGCTATCATTGTTTGAGGCCCTTAGAGGACTAGCCCAACTGTTTCACTCCGCAAATGAGGGTACTGAGGCCTTGGGATATATATATGTGAATGACTTGCACAAGTTATAGTATGACAAAAAGACAAATCAAGGACTGAAACATCCCAGACGTCACAGAAAGCCTTGTGCTCTGGGAGACCCCACTGACCTTGTGAGAATGAGCAGATTCAGGTTGGTGTTTCTCAACCCCTATCAAACATCTCTCATCCTGTCCAGACCTACCACCATCCCCACCTACTGGGGTCACCAGCCAACCTGGCACTGTGGGAAGACAGTCCCACAATTCAGAACTGTGAGGTTTATTGCAGGAAACCAGCTCCTGAGTTCTGGTGAGGGGACAGAAGGAAGCACCTTCCACGTTCATAGAAGTGGAATATCTTTGGGCTCGGGAAGAATAGTTACATTTCATAAGCAGCTGAATGATCATCGTGAATGTCTGTCTACCTAGTCGGTGACCTGAAGCACAGAAGGGCCTTCCAGACTGGAAACCAACAATTAGGACGTGACTGGGTTTGAAGAGAGTCCAGGCATTAGGTCAATACTGAGTGTCCCCCTTGGCCTAGGTCCCAAGAATCAAGCTGAATAGGGACAGGCACACATGCCTCGTATCATCAGCCCTGGTCCTGCTGCCCTCTGACCGTGGCACCAAACTGCATTCCTGTCTGGACACACATCTACTGCCCGTCTCTGAGCACCATTTTCCCACTGCTCCCCTGGACTTCTTCCTATGGCCCACAGATGGGTCTTCCCCTCTGCTAACAACCTCAATTCCTAACTAACTAATCTAAATATAAAATAGTCAGAGAGGCAGCCAGGTCAATCAGAACACATTCATGGCTTTTAAACAGTGACAACATTTTCACATTTTAAAAACTCTCTAGAAGGATGTCAGTGACAATGGCAGATAAAAGACCTCTGAAAATTCTCTCCTACAGAAAAACAATGAGAAAACTGCCTCCCCAGAACTGTTAGAACCAGCTTTTTCAGAACTCTTGGAAATTCACCAAAGATGTGCAGCAATCTGGGGTGTGTTTATTCAATGAAATTGAATAAAAATTGAATCTTAGTAAGAACAGAGAGCTTTGTGGTGTTTTTAGTTTACCCTAGTCCCATCCCCCACTCTCCACAGAAGACTTGAAAACCCAAAGCCCACACAGTCATGGTGAAAATCAGTAGCCTGGAAGCATCTGGAGACAGGCAGAAGAGTATTAGAACAACTTCAAAGCCTCGTTTCCAGAATACTGTCATTATTTGATCTGCCTTGTTAGTTTCCTGGAAGATCCTACTCTCGAGGCTGTCTTGACTTGACTCAGAGTTCACCTAGTATAAACAGCCTCTTCTCCAAGGATATCTGTCAAAACGATAGAGCTTAAGACTGGGAGCTAGTCTATACTCAGGCTTCGGCAATTTGTCATAATTACACTTTATGTGTTCTTACCCAGCAGCCTCTGCTTCCGGTAAGCTGATCTTGGCTGTAATTCTATGTGTTTACCTATCTCTCCAGACCTGCGGAAGATAGTTTGCCCTACAACCTCGATCCTCCGACAGGCCTAAGACAGTTGCTGATTGTCCATGTTGCACTCTTTTCTTGTTGTGAGGATGGAAGTGACAACCTCCAAGCTCTTTACATGTTGGTGCGGAGATGGAAAGTCTGGGTTTTTTATAGTTTTCACCAGTTATGTTTGTTTCCCTGGAGGACGGGCCCCCAGGGCTCCTCATACCACCATCTGGAAAGTGAGACTTTGTTGAAAGTCCTCAACCATTATTACTTCAAATTTATTTCCCATACCATTCTTCTCTCCTGAGACTCTCATGGCATGAATGCAGATCTCCTATTATCGCCCCACTGGTCCCTGAGGCTCTGTTCATTTCTTTCAGCTGTTCTTCCTCCTCTTACTCAGATCAGATCCATCTCCAATGTGTTGTTGCACCAGATGCTTTTAACATTATGTTATGAGACTCTGGATCCTGCTTAAATCCACTGCCTTTGAGTCCAGGATGAAAGATATGGGAGGGATAAAAACCCAGGAAACTGACCTGTGGATCACTCATTCTTTCAGTGATGACTTTCCTTCTCGGTCCACCTGCCACCATTTAGTTTTCAGACTCCTCAAAGAGCCACCTCATTCGCTGTGTCCAGGGTTCTAGTTTCATTCCGGAGAAAAGACAAAGTAGAGTAAGCTTCCTCCATCCATCGCAACTCTCCAATCTGCCAAACCAGTGGCTTATGGCAGATGATGGTGGACTACCAGTAGCTTAACCAAGTACCCTCCTGGTCATAGCAGCTTTACTAGAACAGTTGAATGCAGCCTCTGATGCTTGGTATGTAGTTATTTATCTGGAAAATGTGTTCTTCTCAATCCTCATCAGATAACCACTTAGGAGGCCATTTGCACTCACTTGGGATGGACGATGGCACACATTCAGTCTTGCCCCTGCTCTCTGTCACAAAATATAGTCTGAAGGGGTCACCTCATGTTCATGTTCTAGCTACTACTTCTGTGTCACAAACCACCCCAAGATTAAGTGGCTTACATAGCAATACTCATTTCATGATGTTCCATGGTTTCTGTGGGTCAGAAATTCAGGAAGGCTCAGGGTGAAGTTCTGGCTCATATCCTCTGCCACTGCAGCTCGACTTGTAATCGCTTCTTTAATCTTCCACACGGCCCTGTGAGGGAGGTACTGTCATGATTGGCCTCCCTTTGCAGAGGCACAGAGAAGTTGAATACAATCCCTGAAGCCACCAGCTGGGGGCAGGTGGGGCTGGGGCAGGAGCAAGGCAGCCAGACCCACAGAGGGGAGATCAGAGGAGCGGTCGCTCACTCCCCATCTACCTCCTCCTCCCACAGCCCACTCCGCTCCCCAACACGATCCCACGGCCCCCACAGGCATTGCAAGGAGAGGCAGGAAGAGCACCAGTGGGCTCGTATTGAGTCCCAACTCTGTGCCAGGCTCTGCTCTAAGCGTTCCCTGTAGATTAATTTCATTAATCCAAGAGCCCTGGAGGGTTGTGTTGTTATTGCTGAACTTCACAGATGCAAAGCCTGAGACACAGAGATAGAATCACTTGCCCAAGGACACGCAGCTGGTAAGCCTGGAGCCAGGATTCAAGCCCAGGCTGTCTAGCTCTGTAGGCTCTGTCTCGTGTCTAGATAAATTCGCCCTTGGGGAGAAGTAGGTCCCCTCTTAAAGGGAGCATCAAAGAATTTGTAGGGAGACAATTTAAAGGGGAACATTAAATAAATAGAGGTAATGGTGGCTCATATGTGGCAGAAGTTGTGGAGGTGAAATGTGAGTGACTGGAATCTAGGGAGCTTGGGGACCCGTCCTGCAGCGCCTGACTAACCTAGCTGCTGGATCCCCTGAAGGCCCCAGGATCCTAGCCTTGCACCTGCCCTCGCACACATGTCCTGTGGCCACTAGGAGACGCTGCTGCAAAGCAACCCAGCCGTCATCTTGACGATTAACATTTACTTAGCACCTTGCTAAACCCTTTCAATGCAACATTTTATTTAATCCTCACAGAGATGGAACCTCTAAGGCCCAAGATCATAGAGCTTGTGAGCAGTGGATCCAAGATTCTAATCCCAGCAGTCGAACTCTAGAGCCCAATCCCTTTGCCAGGGGTTGCAAATTCACGAGCCTCCAGCCAAATCTGGTACGCTGTTTTTCACTTTTACTTTAAATTACTTTAAATGTTGATTTCTCTCCAACTGAGTGTGACTGTAAATGCATTCACCATTTCCCCGAACCCTGTCACACCAAACTGTCCTATGCTATTAAATGTGTGGTCCCTAAAGTACGGTTGCCAGATTTACCAATATGGGGCATCTGGGTGGCTCAGTTGGTTGGACTGCCTTCGACTTGGGTCGTGATCCCAGGGCCCTGGGATGGAGCCCTGTGTCGGGCTCCCTGCTCAACAGGGGGCCTGCTTCGCCCTCTCCCTCTCCCCGTGCCACTCCCACTGCTTGTGCTCTCCTGCTCTCCCCCTGCCAAATAAATAATTAAAATCTTAAAAAAAAAAACACAACACTAGACA